ATGGCCGTTCCATCCTTGATCAAATTGTGAGGTAAAAAAAAGCGTACCACCGCCCAAGGTTCCTGAGCAATCGAGGTTGAGAGAGATGGGATGGAGCGAAATTTGTATTGCTATAACCTGATATAGGTGCTATAACTTGTTATAGGATAGGATGGCTGATATAAAATATCGCTCACGCTTGTGACATTGCTGTTTGCCAAAGCACAACTACTCTCATGTTGAAGGTCTCATCCAAAAACTTCTTGCGCACCATGATGGTCAAGTTGCCAGAAAATATCGTTTTGAAGTCGAAATTTTGGTTTTTAGCAGGGTAAGTCCAGAACGCCGCCTGCGTGTGTGAATAGTACGACCACCAACAAGGAACAACTGCCACTCAACTCATCGCATAATCTGCAAATTCAACAGTATCTATCGTCGCGGAAATTCCAGCTATGGTTTCAGCGTTTCATGAATATTGACATTACGCTTTAGATAACGAATGACAAAATAAAGCCCTTAAATTAAGCTCTCGCCAAGCTACACAGAAACGTGCACAGAGAATTGATTGTATCAAAAGCAAGGTTTGAAAGCTGGTAAGGCCGTTTGAGGAGGAAAGTTCTTTTGTCATCTCTCGAGCGCAGATAACAAGCAGTATAAGTTGCCATTCATAGAAATCTGTCCCACCGCTCCCTGGAAAGCTTCGTAATAACGTCATTTCAGAAGAGGATGTTCCTCGATAAGAGGATGAGGATGGCCTCGGATGACAACTGAGGGATAGCTTAAGCCAACTTCGAAACCAGACATCCACTGAAGGAAGCATCTGCGGTGGAACAGTATGGAACTGGTGCACTTTGAAGTATTAAATGTGGACCTGGCAGTTACAGCTAAACTCTACGCGCAGCAGATCTCCCGCGCGGACAGTGCCCTGCGTCATCAGGAGCCCATTTGGCCAAAATGAACTCTTGCACAAAAAACCTCTATGTCGTGAAAATGGCGCAAAAAATTAAAGATGTGGGCTGCAAGGCTATTGCACGCGCCTGGCAGAGTAAAATCGGTGCCTCCCAACTACCATTTTACCGGTCAGAATAGTCGGAGAACCGGAAATGAGTGCAAGAACTTCGACGACGCCTAAATTTAGATGTTCAACCTCCGAATGGTATCCAAGAGAGTTCCTCGAACAAGTCATCCTTTCACTGCGCGAAAACGAAGTAAGGACGCTTCCAATTACGAAGCAGACTAGTTGTAAATGTGCAGTTCGCACAGAATCATTTTTTGGGTACGTCACAGCAGAGAAAACAAAAGCAAACAAACAAGCAAAAGGTAAAGAAATTCCGGTAAAGCTTCTATTCAGCATTTTCGTTCGAGCTTGACAGAACAGGGATCGAATGAAGAAAAGAGCGATGTTGTATTTTGAACAGAGCGATTTCTTGCCTTCAAGAAATTATAGAGTGAATTGCTGTTTTCTGGAAAGTTCCCTGCTCAACAATTTGGTGGCCCAATCGAATAAATCAATAAAAAATAATTAATCAATTGGGTGCAGTCAATTGTTTTCTTTGTCTGCCTTCACCACACTTGTCTCGAGCTGTTTGATCGATGTTGAAGGCAGACCACCTCAGCCGACTAGAAGTATATTTTTCTACCA